TGGAGGTGGTCACCGTATTTGGTTTTACCAACACCTTTACCCATTTGCCCTTTAAAGTTGTTATTAAAAAAATCTGTGGTAAGAACTGCTTTGTACTACTGCTACATACAGCTGTTTTCGTAGTCTACTTTCGTCCCATATTCTTAAGTGGTCTTGGAGGAAAATAATCAGAACACACTTAAGTGAAGCTGCTAATCAAGAATGTTCAAAGACATTCAAGTACAAGATTTCCAAAATTTGCAATGGTTTTGAATTTCATCACACTCATTAGCAATTTAGCGGCCAAAACTCGGATGAATGTAAAAGCAGGAGAAATTACAATGTTATGATTAGATAAACCAAAGGGAGGAAGCCTCTGTAGACATTTGATGATATCGTTAAAGCAGAAAACCACATTGATAGCTTGTAATCTTCTGATGGGAACGGCTTGAAAGAGGCAAAGAACGCATGGGTTTGGGTTGGGGGATAAAACGTCCGCATTGAGAAGCCAGAACAATTGTCTTCATTGGTCAGAGCAGAGATCAGATAATGCATTGATCAAAGCATCAATAGTTCTCGATGCCGGTGGACGATAGATATATGAACTTTTAGCGGTGATTCTGATAGTGTGAAAAATGTTTAGAAAGGAATATTAGAATCTATGTTTTGCGCAAAGCATATGCGCTGCGCAGAGAAGTCAATTTTTATTGAACAACAGACACACCCGCTTTTATTTCCGAGGCAGTCGACACGATGAACGGGATAAGGAAGAGTGGAGATGAGCTCACCGACGCAAATTCTAGGACACAACCATGATTCAATTGACAGGAAATGTCGGGACCTAAAAAACTTAAAAGGCAAGGAGTGGATGTAACTTGTTTACCAAGCTGCTTCATTGGACAAAAAAATGCAAACACTAATATACAGCACCTTTATACGCTACCCTGGGGCGGTCGCGCAAGGTCTGAGATGCGTTTTATCATCCCCTCATAGACCGAACACTCCTTCACAGGGTGGAGGAACGAACGCCTCAATTAGGCACCGCCTCCGCGGACCACTGGTCCCAACACGATGCATAACAGTAGGACGAAAGGACCAGCAGCCCGCGGAGGCGATGCCTAATTGAGGCGTTCGTTCCTCTACCCTCCTTCACAGCCTCCCCTCGATTCGGCTCTCCAGCTTGTTTGTGCAGTTATAATCCAACGCGCGCTCTGCAGGTGTCATGCTTTTTTAAAGAAAGGGATAGAGTAGAACTTCGTAGCAGATATGAGCTGCAAAGTGCCTGCGACCAAGGGACTCTTGGCGGAAACAATTTCTACCAATCCAGGTCTGCGCTCGCGAGCAGGCTTGATGACTGTAATGATCGCCAAATTCAGATGAACCTCAAACAAAATAATTCGCAACAGGTTCAAACGACGAAGATGCACTGAATCAAGAGGAATATGTCCTAGAAATCGGTAGAGGGATGAAAGTTAGAGAAGTATCAGAAAAACGGCGGGGAAAAATGGGCTAAAGAGAACAGCGATATGCGATCTTATATGATCACAGCAGGCGAGAGAATGGATTCACCAAAATGCTCTTGAGTTAAAATTAAGAAAAGATATGCTCTCTTCTTTGTTCCTGCAAAAACCTATTTTTAATGGTGATTATTCAAAACACTTTGATGGCTGAGCACAATAATTTTGTTGTTGTTGTTTTTTTTGCTGCACTTTATCACTTCTGTAGGGGTTATAAACATGAATTGTAATTAATTTCCTTGTATAAAATTCTACCCTTCTCTACACATTAGGGGTCTTCAAAAAACTCGCTCAGTTTCTCTACAAAAAGTTTATAATGACGAATAAGAGCAAAAAAATATAGCGAAAGCGTTCGGGACAAGCGAGACTAGTGACAGGGCCCGGCACAAGGGGCCAAATGAACTCCTGTGAATTTAAACGCCTTTGCCGCTTTGAATTCATGAATTCCGCTCTGATTTCCTCCTTGTCCGCGCCAACTATGCAGACTGCTTGAATAAAGCGCGTTTTTTCCTCTGAAACCGCGACTTGTTTGCTATTTCGGACTCAGCAAAGAGGAGGAGTTTTGGAACCAAAATATTGCTGTACATAAAGCATTGTGCGTAGAAAGAATTTATGTAGGAAATGTGGAAAACTTATGCGTGGAAGCTTTGTCAAGTTTTCCAAATCAAGTGAGCAATTGCCCACCTACTCAGAAAGACGGTTCGCACACCGTTTATTTACATAAGTTTTTCATAATTATCCATATCTTGTTCCTTGAATCTAAGGCCTAAGGCATACCTCGCGCGATTCCTGTCGCTGCGCGATTTGGCACAACAGCGACTCTCTGTATTTCGTCTTCGATGCGTTTCCTTTGGTCAGAACTTAACCTATTTGCGACAACTTACACAAGCTATCCGCTTATGCGTTCGAGAAGCGCGCACGATAAATTTGTAGAAATCTGGCATATCGCCAGGTCGCGTGAAAGTGGCGATTTGTCCAAATCGCCTGAGGTATGCCCTAGGCCTAATGCACATATGCATACCAAATTTCGTGCCTTATCTTTCCCTGTGCGTTGCAAACGAGGCATTTTTTTATCTTTAGGTGAAAACATTTTTAGAAAGAGCTTATTTTTTAGTTACGAAATTTTCTAGCAATCTTTCTAGGCTTGTTTCTACTACCCCTTCTCCATACACATATCGAATTTCGTAGCATAATCCTATGTGTACGCCATAAATTCATTTCTCACTTGTGCAAAGATACTTTTCAAAATGGCGTTTTGAAGACGTTAGCCATGTAAAAATCTGGTTTTTGCGGGGTTGAGAATGTCTGAGGGGTAAGTAATGTATACAAGTGTGTGACCATGATAAAACTCCTTTGCTTTTTCACATAGAACGATTTTCAGCCTAACACTTGCCACAGTGTAAGCTGAGAAAAGTCGGAAAAGTAGGTTGCAGAATTGTATTAGGTCATCTCACATGTTTTATCAAATGCTGCCAACTTCGATAATCAAATGAAGGCTTAAGCTATTGATTGATAGAGCAAAGCAAGTTTCACGAAAAGTTTCCCGAGCAATCGCAGCTCCAACTTGCTCATCATATCTCAACATAATAAATTTGCATAAACATCACAATGGTTTTGAATGGCAAAATCGAAATGCAAAAATAACAGAAAATCAAGAAATTGTCGCCTTTCTTGAGTATTTGATGCTAAATTTGTTATTTATCTAGAACTACGAGCCTCTAGATGCAGGAAAATAGTTCTCCTCCCTAGTCAAAGATAAACATGTTGTACAGGGTGTTCCAGAAGTAAATAAACACTTTTTGACCGTTGATAACTCTCTTCCCACTGAATCATTCCCTTCAATTCAAGTAGTATTCAAAATGGAAGGCTTCATTAGATTTGCATATGGGCGGATCACCCATCGCCCTTCATCACTGTAGAATTATTACGGTATGAACTTCCAGCATACAGCGTCATTGCGAAATAAGCGATCTGAACAAAAAGTTCCAACAACCGAAAAGTTGTGTAGCAGTGTTTTTAGACATGCTAACTTTAACAAACAACTGCTTATGAGTTTTTAACAGTTTCATATTGTCCAACCACATTTTTCAAGCACTGAGAAAACGTCGTTGCGGTTTACTTGGCATGACTTATGAAAAAAGTCTTGCGGTAAAGTGTATGTATATCATATTAATAATCAGCGACTCACTTTAGCCTAATAATAAAGTGTTTGTATCGTTGTGCATCTATTCTGGGCAATACTTAGCCACTAATGGCTCAAAACCCTTTTCAAAATTCCTATCGTAATCTTACAGTGATGAAGAGCGCTGGATGATTTCCACCCTGGATGATTTGTAAATCTAAGTCGAAGGCTCCTTTACTGAATGTTTTCTGAAGCTAAGGAAAAGATTCAATTGGGAAGAGAGATGTTAACGATCAAAAAGTGTTTACTTGCTTTTGGGACACCCTACATAAAACATATAACGGAGCTCGATAAGTCCACATTTTTAACATCTATTCCCGTACAAACAAGACAACATGGATGATATATGCTCTACCGGAATTTCGAAAATACACTAGACATCCCTACTTCAAAAAAGCAGCACTTCAAAGCACATCTATAGTAGGCATTATATGAAGAGTGGTGGATTCGCGCCCACTTAGCCTTTGCATGTGTAATGCATGTGTTTTCACCTTTTAGCATTACCATTTTTCATAATTTCGAGTCAAAGCGAAAAAGATATTTGAATTCTCCTTTGGCTGCTTTTGATCCTCTTTCCATGAAGGAGACGAGAAAAAAGTTCGAGTTTCCCTTTGGCTGCTTCCCTCTTTCCATAAACGGCTTTATTTTTGCAACGCTTACTGAAACACTAACAATTTTATACGAGGTTTCAAATCAATGATATTACAAAGTTGAGAAGAAGACTACTTGATGATTTTACGGAAACGGGGAGGGGGGGGGGGAGGCACAGAAATGTAATGGCTTAAGGTTATTCCACATAAGAGCTATATTAACGAAAATGAAGAGCAAATCTTTTTTAAGCTCTTCAAGCTGAATTTATTATGACTCAGAAAAACCCTTCTTTTTCTTCTCACAAGAAACAGAAAAGGGCTACCTTGCAAAGTTACTAAAAGTGCAACCTCTGAATATGAGCGTTTTGATTATTCATTAATACGCTTACTAAAATAGGTTACAGAGTGCGGAACAAAAGTGCTTTGCCAGAGAGATCGCGTTAAGGGGTAGCGACAGATTGCAATTACTATCTCCATTGTCTCCTCTAAGACTTTTTTGTCAAGAACTTCAAACTCGGTTTGAAGTTCTCGACAAAAAACTTCATGCTCAACTAAGCAATTGACAATTCATTGTAATTCGAGTTCAAATTTGTCGCTGTATGAGAGAGATCAAATGCACTAATTCATCAAATTTGTTGGCTTGTTCACCTATTCACAATACGCTGCGATAATCTCATGATTGGCTCCTAGAGTACCACTTTAAATAGCCTGTACTAGACGCCTTTGGCACTCATGTATGCTCGCATTATCTTGGTTGTGAGTCTCTCATAGAGCTTTTTGTTCAGAGTCTATAATTTATTTGTAGGTACTCCTTCTCAATGCCGTTAGAAGAAGTGAAGGTGAAGCTGGTGGTATAACGAGCGAAGATACAATCGGTGCTGGGGATACCGCCGCAAGATCTGAGAGTGCTGGAAAAAACAATGGTGAAGCTGAAGCTGTTGAAACGAGCGAAGATAGGACTGAAGAAGGAAGAAATGGTGCTGTGGAGACCGTCGCAGGGTCTAAGGGTGAGATCGCCGCACAAGGAGCAAAAAATGGCGTTGCTCCTGGAGGAAGTAATGACGCTTGCGTAACACAAAAACATGCTGATGAAAGTGGCAGCGCTGGCGACGCTGGCAAAAAGACTGAAGGACACCTCGTTAATTGCCAGACGATTGCCAACAGTGCAATGGATAAATTCATAAAGCAATCTCCAAATGCAGGAAATAATGAACTATCGACTCCACCACTTGAGGTGCTTTTTTGCTTTTTCGATATCTACCTTATTTCAAAGCTTAGCATTTTTCGCTCACTCAACGTTCTTAAAAAAAGCAACGGTTACGTTTCGAAAATTTTCACAGAAACGAGAGCATTTAGTCTATTTCAGTGTCACTCTTTTGCTGTCGATTTGAGCAAAGGACCTCATAAAGATTTTAAAGCTTTCTGTAAATTCGTAACATATGACGTCAAAAACCCAAAAGAGTATGTCAGATTAAAGCTTGACTAATGCTGCAATAATTTCACTGTTTTCAGTATGCGTGAACATCTCACAAAACTCAACGGCACCGAATTCTCTAGACTAGCTTATGTAAGTGATCTCTCTTCTGTTAGAGCCACCGCTTCGACTCTGTTGTAAGTTTGCTATTACCGATACCTTCTGGACTTGAAAAGGACCAAACTCTAAGAATTAAATCAAACACTTATCAGAAAGTTTTTCACAATAACAAAAAATTAAGCCCTATATGATCTTTTGTGGTGGCTGATAGATAATGTGGTCGCTTTTGCGCCTCCTGCGAATGCCGTAAATGAATTTTTGTCCAGCTTTTGATATCTCCATAGAGCATTCCAGGAAGAACTGGAATGTGAATTTTATTTGAGTAGAATCGATTTTTTTGTGAAGAAATGCGCAAAAATTGAGATATTCCAATTCCATTATTGCGCGCAAACGTAAGGAAATTTCTTTTTCGCGATCAAAGATTCAAAAATGCAGGTCACAATTTCTACTGTTTTTCGCTAATTTAAGAAAACTTGTGCATTGCACGCCATGCGCGCTGCGCTTTCAAGATTACATTGTGCTTTTTCAATGATCACTCCTTGATATTTTGTCTTCTTATTCTATTCGATATGTACGGGAGACTGCCCCTGACCGCTAGCCTTAGCAGCCTTATTAGTGCGCGCCTCTGATCGGCGCTGCATGAGTGCTAGGCTGTCGTTGGGGGAGCAGGCGCTGATTTAGACGTTTTACACAAAAGCACTCTCCCAAGGAGAATAATTAAGAAAGATCCTGGGCTGCACATGAAACTCAAAGATGTTAGCTCAATCAGGTTTTTGTTACACGAGCTAGTGCAGAGTTTACGGTGGGAGAACTGGGAAGGGTGCAATTTATAATTAGTAGCAAGTAAAAACTCTTCTTAAATTGCTTTCGTAAATGAAACATCGTTTCTATCATTGTTTGAGAATGTGCACTAGCTCGGTCTGAAATCGAAATATTTGAAACCCTGGTGGATGACTAGAGTAGTAGCGTCGCCTTGGGGCAGAGTAATCAGCGCTAGGAATGGAGCAATGCAGAAGGGCACACACCCGATATGTACCATTCAGCAGTACGCACTTCTGCACAGTTTTTGTTCCGTCAGCAAAGGTTTGCTGAGGAGTTACTGGTAATAATTTTTCTTCTTCTTGGCAAAGTGTGAAGGCGCACGTATTGAGTTACAAAAAGATATCGTCAATTCGTTGACTGTACGGACTGGACATAACCGCGGAGCACGCGCCGCGAGGTAAAACGTTTGCTCCAATACAAACTCACCATTGTTAAAAGCGTGCTCTCGCAACATTTTAACCGCGCCGCGCGTGGTCCGCAGCGGTTGAGCAGTCCGTACGGCCAACGAATCGACGATATATTGCCTCACTGTTCCTGAAATCATCGCTTTAAAAGATCGCTTCAATTCGCTTTAAAATTGATTCAAGCATGTACAGGCTGATCATCAATATGAGCTGAAAAACTTTTTCCAGTAGATAATTGCGTAGATAATTGATGATGAACACTATCTTATTTTCAGCTGAAAAAAGACACAAAGGCTTTCGGATGCTCGTGCGTACGTAGTCCAACTAAGGGCGTTAAAAAAACTGTGGTGTGTTGTTTGCAATGCAAGAACGATGAGCCCTGCGATGGAAAAACAAAGCAAGCACATGAAGTCAGAGGATTAAACAATCCACATGTGGATGACTTTCTCAGAAAAGCCGGCACTCCACAACTCAGTTAATTTAATTGCTTACATCATGGCAAAAACAAACAGTTCTTTAGTCAATAGATATAAATAAATGTTGGTAATATACTTTCTATCACAAAGTATGAATCTAGGTAGCGATGCAAGGATTAATCTTCTCAAAACAAAGAAGGCCAGCTAGTTCTTTGTCCTGCGCAAAGCTTTCCGTTAGTGGTTGCTTTACGCCATTCATCTTTCAACCTAAGTGGTTGGAAGCTTAAGTTGATCCTACCAAGGTTTTCTTATTTCTTCTAATGGCCAGCATTTGGAGTTACTGCAGGAATATCAGGTTAACGAATAGTCTGTATACAGGTGCCACATACAGCTGCCACAAACCAATAACAGAAATGTCATTAGACTTCGCTTGAAAATTTTGTAATTAGACCTCCTTACTAATTTTTATTGGTGATTTCTATAGAGATCGTGATTTGAATTTGCAGGTATGATATTTTATAGTACTAAAAAAAATTTTGATCAACTTTCTCGCAGCGCTTATTGACTATCCTCTTTAGAAAATCCTAATATAATTTAACTTTTTGGAAAACTGTTAGTCTTGTGAGTCGCACTACAGTCGAGTAGATTTAGCGGTAAATATAGTGTGCTTGCACAGAAGGTGAAATGCGGTGAAATTGGCGCGTGAAGAAATAGCTTCGACTGTGACGCCGGCCAATTGCGCGCGCAAAATACCCGCAGTAGTGGCGTGGCTACTTGTTCACGCGCAAATTTCACCGCATTTCACCTTCTGTGCAAGCACACTATATTTACCGCTAAATCTACTCGACTGTACCTTGTCTTACACGCTTGTGAACACTCCTATTCCGTCTAGGAATGGTGATATATTGGGAAATAGTAATGAAGAAACTTGAAATAGTATCGTGAGCTAAAGGCATATACTGAGTGTTTCGAAAAGGCTGTTTTCTTAACTCTTGGATCAAGAGGAGTGTCTGTTTCAGTATAGGATAGATGGAACTTTACAATATCAATTTGTACTGGAGAGGAAAGGAATTAACTCAGTCTGTCAATCAACTCGATCGACGATATAGTCCTTGAAATCAGCTTAAAACACCAATTCTAAATATGCTCCGTTCAACTGCGAAGCTGAAAAGAATTAGGTGGACCTGATGCCATTGTACCCCTAACGCCTATACGCTGTCCGCGTTGCGCACGGAGAGTAACGCTGTTGCGTCCGTTGAAGTGCACGGGGGAAGAGGGGTGAGGCGCAATACACTCCTTGCGCACTCTCCGCGCCCTGCGCGGACGGCCTCTAGCACATTCCTTTGTACAAGCCGTCTCCCCATATCCAGCATTATGTTGAGCAAAGTAATTTGAAAGCTCATAACTTGCTTCAGAGGGTAAAGGCGCATCTCGCATTTCTTCATTGCTTCCCCTCTAATCCTCGTACTTCAATGAATAAAGTCCAACTTTTGCACGTATTCTTGAGTTTTTGTTTACCTGATGATGTGGTTTGTACAGGACCCGACACAGCTGGAACCGGGTCAAGTTGAATCGTTTTGAGGAAAAGCAAGGCGATTATCGTTTTTGCCGGGTTCGAGGAGGGTCTCCAAAATAAATCGCAGAGCGCACCAGAACAAAACAATACGTTCAAAATTATTTATCCAATCCCCATCGTTTTGAACAAATCAGGACAGGTTCATTGCTTGCATAGAGTTAAGCGAGACGTCAGGTACAACTCTATCGAAAACGACCTGGTTATGAGCTCAATAATCATACCAGGAAGGAGCAATTTCCGAATTTCGAAAACAAGTCAAAGGCAGTGTCGGCAAATCTCAACCTAGTCAAATTTGCGCTTACCTATTCAATACGCTGATCCCGAAAATCCACTTTTGAAAGCGTGAAAACCGAAAATGAGCGTTTTTTAATGCTATTCCCTTTGGATTTGGACGAATGGAGCAAGGCCGATGACGCTAAATCGTTTGCAGGACCCAATGATTATAGCGTTGCGCGGAGGCAGCCTCCAATGGTGATAAGGACATTGCCAACTCGTCCAGATGCGTGTAAGTTGGCCTGCGCGTGTAAGTTTGAGAGCGATTTTCTCGGCAGGGAAAGTATGCTGTGCAACCGTTGCACTGTTTTCATAGTTGGGCGATAAGGGACCTACCGCGTTAAAATCCTGAGCTGTTGGATTTTGCCGATCCACTGCCTTTAAAGGTGCCGGGCGCAGCCAAAAGCTTAAGCAGCCTGACCTTTTGAGGGGTTGCGCCTGGCCCGATTAACTTTATTCCCAAAAAACTTTTCCATTTATAAGGTTCGCTAGCATAAACTTCAAAGATTCTACAGTAAGTATTTGAGCTTACCTCGACTTGTTTTCGCTTTGTGGTGATCGGTGGTGTTGAAGCACTCGAGGTAGAAAACAGTGGCTGATATTCTGGCAGCACTTCTTAATCCATCATTTGAAAGCGATATGAAGTCCAATGTCTACCACAGACTATAAAAAGCAATATTTTTTTACGAATACAAAAAAGCTGACTTCTTTCACTTTTGTGACCAAGTAGATCATGTTTGAAAATTATGCCTTATAAGTTAGGAGATAGAAAATGTAATAGGTGATGGTTTATAAGCTCGTTGGGGTTATTTGGCATGCTGATTGAAACTTATACCCTATTTATACAAAGAGCTTCTTTGGTGACCTTACGGTATGTGTAAGGTAAGATTAAGAGTAGAAATTTGGCTGAGACTTTGTTAGTCGAGTTCATTGCTCTAGTGGAGTGAGATTCACGGCGAGCGCTTTTTTTCTTCTTACTCAATCGCAGTATTTTCTCAACTTTTTGAACAAAATCGCTTCTTGATTACGATACCCCTTGCATTTACCCCCATACGATCCACCAGGCCGGGCACGCCTGACCCCCACGCCTGACCTCAACCGTGCTTACATGTTCTAATACGTTCTCGTGCATCGCGAAAACTCGAAATCACGCTCCAAACAAACAAAAGCATTGTTTACAAACAGAATACAATGATCTGACACCAAAATTGTTGTGCAGATGTGCGTGAGGGAGCTCGCACATCCGCACAACAGTTTCAGCACGCACGTTCAGCACGCCTTCCATTCACACAAGTTTCCATAGAGCCATAGTGCGAGCTCCCTCACGCACATCTGCACAACAGTTTTGGTGTCAGATCATTGTATTCTGTTTGTAAACAATGTTTTTGTTGGTTGGGGCGTGATTTTGAGTTTTCGCGATGCACGAGAACGTATTAGAACATGTAAGCACGGTTGAGGTCAGGCGTGGGGTCAGGCGTGCCCGGCCTGGTGGATCGTATGGGGGTAAATGCAAGGGGTATCGTAATCAAGAAGCGATTTTGTTCAAAAAGTTGAGAAAATACTGCGATTGAGTAAGAAGAAAAAAAGCGC